TGCATGAATTGGTTCAGTGTGTCATCCAGGGTCCTCTTTTGTGGTAGTTGGTATGGTTGGTATGCGAGAGGTCCTTGAGATGGTGGGTGTGAACCTTGTAGGTTCATTGGAGTTTGTTGTGTGTTCCTCCAACTGAAGTTTGGGTGGTTTCGCCACTCTGGATTGTATGTTTCAGAGTATGGGTTGGAGTAAGGCTTATTGAAATTAAAGACAACATTTGTTTGTTTCAACAGAACCTCTTTGAATGATGGAATTGTAGGACACTCCCCAGTAGGATGTTCTGTTAGCGCACAGATCCCACACACTTGTTCTGTGGGAGAGCTAACATCGACTTGATGAACCTTTTTCATCTCTAGAGCTTCACGCTTTCGAGATAGGGTGAACATTTTTGCTCTAAGGTCATCATTATCTCTCAAGACATACTTACCCCCCTTGGAAAGTAGTTGGTTTGGCTTCAATAGTTGTGGGAGAGGCTGAGTCCCACATCTGAGAACTGTCAGATATGGTATCAAAGAAATCGAATGCCTCATTCGGACTTTTTCCATAAACTCTCCTTGAGCCATCATTTCGACAAACTAGCGTAGTCTACTGAGCAGAGAGTCATAGAAAAATCCTACCAAGGTCCAATTCTCAAAAGTATGGTGTGGGCAGGACTGGAGTAGATCCTTGAATCTCTCCCAACTTTAGTAAAAGGTTTCTCATTTGACTGAAAAATTCATGATTTGCCTTTTCAATACATTAGTGAGGTGTAGAGGAAAAAATTTTCTGAAAAATTCATTTTGTAATGCCCACCAGTCAGGTATTGAAAGAGCTTTTAAAGAATTTAGTCATTGTTTAGATTTAGCCCTTAAGGAAAAAAGGAAAAGTTTCATCTTGGCCAGTTCAGAATTGTCTTGAAATGTTTTACATACTTCCTCAAAATCTTTTATATGCATTTATGGGTTTTCTGTTTTGAGTCCACGAAACTGGGAGAGTAGTTGAACTGTCCTCGTCTTTATAGTAAAGAGGGGTGCATCTTCAAGAAAAATAAAACAAGAGGGGACACTATTCCTTGTGGGATTCAAGTAATCCCTCAGAGTTCGAATGTTAGGCACTTCCTCTTTTCTTATAGGAATTTCCTCTTGTCTCTCACCATTTGTCATTTTACTTTCACAAGAATCTACTACTGATCTAGGTAAAAGTGGTTCAAGTTGATTCACAGATCCAAAAGATTCGGTTGGCAAATTTTGATAGTGAGGGACATTTTCAGACATAAACACAACTTTATATACAGTAAAGCAAAGTTATACACAAAAATGAGGTCTTTTTACCTTTTACCGTAAAACACCTTTTATGGTTCCCCAACAACGGCGCCTAAAATTTGACTTGATCTGAAAAGTGTACACCCAAGTGCAGATGGTCAAGTTGTAGTAATAATCCAGTGAAGTTCGGAGTCGAATCCACAGTGAACTATGATTGGTGTTTCTGAAGTAAGCAATAAAAAAGACCAAGCAACTTGAAAATTTCGAGTGTTTGGAGTGGTGGGGATGCCTTAAATAGAATAGAAGATTCTTTTCAAGAGTTTTCTAGACAAAATATAAGATTCTCAAAAACGTAACAGCCACCCTTTAGCTCGAGGATCAGGACATGTAATAGAGTATCCATTTTGTTATGTTTGTGCTTTATAACTCAATTAACTCCTACGTCAACAGCAAGTTAATCGGAAGATAAAGATGGACTATGAGATTTAAGCACATGATTCCGATGCCTTTCTAGAAGTTTACAAAAATTATTTGTGCCGAGACTTAACCCGTCTACAAACAAGCAAGTATTTCTATAAAGCATCCAATAATGACATTAATGATCCATTCTTTGAATAAAGCGCAATGATAGTGGGGATTGAAAGATTGTCATGAAGAGCTAGTCGGGGTATTTGTATTGAACCAACAAATCTCTCTATGTAGAAGTCATCCGTATCATAGATGGAGCCCTGGTTATACAAATGACCTCAATCTTTGCTAGGTACATTCAATCACCCAATGAACAGGTGGAGTATAAACAATTAAAGCATGAAGAAGTTGCACAAACATAACTTTTGGATAATCTTTACATATTCATCACCTCTTACTAAAGAGTAAATGAGGAACTACTCACTTTTCATGGTCTTGGCAAAACTAGAAAAGTGAGTACTACTCATTCCTCTAAGTAAAGACGCTACTAAGTAAAGCAAACTAAACAAAGAACTTTTCTTCAATGAAGAATAAGTGAATCACTTTTCACCCTTCACGGCTTTGGTAAAGCTCTAGAAAAGTGAAAAAGTTTCACTCTTCTAAGAAAGAAGGATGCTCAAGTAATGGAAGTAAAATACATGAACAATAAAAATAGAAGAAAACTAGTTGCTTTTGGAGGGTTTTCACCACAACCAAAAGATGAACTACCTCTCTTGATACTTTATAAATAAAAGCAAGTACAACTACAAGGGGAGTCTAAGCCTCTATCATGGTTGTCACAACATGAATGTGAAGACTTAGCATAAGTAAATGAAAGACTTCAACTACAAGGGGAGTCTAAGCCTCCTTCATGGTTGATATAAATGGAAAATGAAAGCATAAACATGAAATGTTCAAGAACTAGATTACTAAAACACTTTTACTTTATAAGAATAAAGATTGCTCCCTTTTTTCTCTACAAGAGGAAGAATGTTTTTTAAGCTCTCAATAAGGGAGTATTTATAGGCAAGGAAGGGAAGAGGGGTAGGAGACAGGTGAGGATAAGTGAATAGTATTTGTCGCCCATAGAAATCGATTGTTTTGCAGGCAGTCTGCAAGGGGACGTTCGAACGTGATCTGGCGTTCGAACGTCAAGTCTGTCTTTGTTTTGAGGGTGTTCGAATGTGAGATGACGTTTGATTTCTTCCACTCAAGTGGCTTGTGGTCACTAACTTGGTCACTTTCATATGCCTTGAACATCATTAACTGCACACTCAGCAACTCCTTAGTCACTTAAGACAACGTTCGAATGTGGAGTGACGTTCGAACATTGTACTCAAGTACTTCTGGTTTTTCTCTTTTTGTTGACTGCAACACACCATGTCTCAGTAGCTGGTCTTGGCAGGTTTTTAGATGACGTTCGAACGTGGGTTGACGTTCGAACGTCCTTGCTTTGTTCCAACCTTCTGCATTTTTGTTCCCTTTTGTGCTGGTGTTTACATTCAAGTGTGATTTTTGTTGTTCTTGGGCCTTTGTTCACTTTAGGACCTAAAAATGTCATTACTTAAACTCTATCAAAGCACAATTAGTTCAAAAAGACATAGTAAAATTTGTTAACTTTATGCACGAATCAATGTGCATAACTGTGAGCATATTATAAATAAATATAATAATAATAATAAAACAACAACATTTTTATAGTTTAACCAATATTATACATATATTCACTCCTCACTGAAGAGTATAAGTAACTACTTACACTCCATTACTATAGAAAAGCAAGAAGTGCGGGAAATTATGATTACAACAGTAAATAAAATACAGACACTGACACTTCTTTCGCAAGGAACAATTGAAATACAACCACCCTTAATTCCAGTTTAGGCACAAAGGTGGCGGCAGTTCAATTCTCCAAATAGAAAGACATAACAGAAATGTAGAAATACAGAATTTTGGCTAGAGAGTAGGACAGACCAGATCTTGACTTCTCTCTATGGCTTTCTCCCTTTCTCCTTTCTTTCTCTCCCTTTCTTTCTTTTCTCTTTCTTTCTCTTCTCTCCCAGCCTAGCCTCCTCAGATGTAGAAGATAAAGGTGCCTATATTATAGGCAAAAGAAAGCAGGGGGTGGAAGATATACATCAATCGCCTAACACCACCATCCGAACGCCGCCACCACCGTCTGGACAGTCATTGTTTGCTGGTGGATGTTCCATCTTCTTCTAGCATGTTCTTGGTCTTGAATTACACTTTATTCCCTGCTAGTTTCAAACTTTAATAGAATGCTCCTCATAATTTGGTCTTCAATCAATCAAGACCTTATTTACCAAATTGTGAGGTTAGATAGAATCTCTAGATAGTAGCCTTGAGTTTAGGGATATAGAGTTGCGGTGGAAGCTTTTTAGTTCTAAAATAGATTTCTCTCTCAAAATGCTTGCCCTAATAGTAGGAAATACATTCTCTATTTGTAGGCTCGGAATAAAGACATTCTTTGTCATTAAGAGAAACTCAAAATCATGAACAACCGCTCAATTGGTAGGAGGGCGGTGATCACTAGAATGAAAAACTTGTTTCAAACCAACCTAGGAGAGGAGACCACTCGAGTGACCATGGGGATTGCCCGAGCTACCATAGAGGGCGAGCCCTGATTTCTTTCATTTGACATTTTTCTCATTTTTTTCTTAAGTTATAAAGAGACCACTCTAACAAAAGTTAGCGAGCATAGGACGATCACTATGCATCTAATTATATATATATATATATATATATTTTTTTTAATTATGAATATATAATAAGTGGTAGTGCAAGGTTAATGTATATTGACATGTGAGGGAATATTTATAATTATGAGATAAATAAGTATTTTTTTTATTGACCATCTTAACACACTTTATATCAAATAATTTTTATTTATGTGTTTTTTTTATTAAACATCCAAACAATGCTTAATTAAGGAAGTGCTTTTTCTAAAAAGTAATTATACAAAAAGTATTTTTAGAATCCCATAAAAGTCATTTTCAAAAGCTACTTGTTGCCCAAAAAACAGTGAAGCACCCAAAAAATCATTTTCAAAAGCTCGCAAACAGGCCTTAAGTATTGTAGCATTATTTGAACGAGTTAAGTGGTGAATTGTGGCATTAGAGTTTGAAGTTTATTGATCTCATTATCTTCTAATTACACAAACTTTAATTACACAAACTTTAAAAGTTGCTTCGTATATTTCGAAAACATTAGAAGTTCTTATGCTGTTTTAACAAACATTAAGGATGTTAGTGTAATTTATCCTGTTATAAATCGCGGCTTGATTGTCACCCAATTCTTCAAAAGAAACAAAACCCTAGCAGGTTTAGAGCGGAGAGTGGGACTTACAACGCTCTGTGTTCAATGGCAAAGAAGAGAAAGGCAGCACCTCCACTCAAATCACAACAACCAGAAGAGCAAAAACCGAAACCCAACCCAGTTGTAGTAAACCATGAAGAATCCGAAGAAGAATCATACGAAGAAATAGAGGTGGAGGAGGAAGAGGAGGATGAGGAAGAAGCAGAAGAATCCGAAGAAGAAGAAGAAGAAGAAGAAGAAGAGGAGGAGGAGGAGGAGGAGGAGGAGGAGGAAGAAGAAGAAGAAGAATCAGAACAAGAATCATCCGACGAAGAAGACGAGGATTCAAAGAGAGAGACTTTGAGAAAACTCCTCGAACCGTTTGGCAAAGACCAAATCATAGAGTTCCTAAAAGAGGCCGCTCTCAACAACCCTTCCATCGTTGCTAACATCACCAAGTCCGCCGAGTCAGACCCGGCCCACCGGAAGCTCTTTGTCCACGGCCTTGGCTGGGACGCCACCGCCGACCAAGTTCTCTCTGCCTTCAAACCCCACGGAGAAATCGAGGAATGCAAGGTCGTCACCGACAAAACCACCGGCCGAGCCAAGGGCTACGCATTTGTCCTCTTTAGAACCCGAGGCGGTGCCCTTAAAGCCCTCAAACAACGACAGAAGAAGATCGGCAATCGGGTCACGTCATGCCAGCTCGCCTCCGCAGGCCCTGTCCCAAACCTGCCGGTCCCGGACTCGACTGGCCGGAAAATCTACGTGGCCAATGTGGGTCCCAACATAAATGTTGATAAGCTTAGATCATTATTTGCTAACTATGGGGAGATTGAGGAAGGACCAATAGGGTTAGACCCTGTGACTGGTAAACCCAAAGGATTTGCCATTTTTATATATAAGACAGGGGAAGGGTGTAAACAGGCGTTAGAAGAGCCTGTAAAGGTGTTTGAAGGTTGCCAATTGCAATGCCGGCGAGCCGTGGAAGGTCTTCGGAACAATAAGAATCAAACAGGTGGCATGCAACAGAATGATATTACTACTGCCACACTGAACTATGGTGTTGGTGTGGCTCCCGCAATTCTCGGTTCTAACGTGAATCCGGCTGCAATGCTGGTGGGACAGAATCCAGGGATTGGGCTAACAAATCCGGTGTTAGCTTCAACTTTGAATCAGACTGCTTTAGCCCCATCAATTGGGGCGAACCCGACTTTGGGGATTGGTGGGAATTATGGTATTAATAGCATAAGCCCAAGTATGATTGGTAGTTATGGTTCCCAAGCAGCTTTGCAGGGTCTGGGGGCCTACCAGAGTTCTCAGTTGGGAAACTCTTCTGTTGGGGTGACAGCAGCAGCAGCCACCTCGACAACAGCGAGGCCTCAATCTGGTTTTGGTTCTGCAGGGACAACCTTCCCCTCCTACTTCGGCCGCTAGGTGAGAAATTTCACTTGAACTATAGTCTTTGTTGTGGTTTTTCATCTGTTTTCTTTTTGTTATGAATCATGATTATGTCTGGGTCTTGACCCTTGTCTTGATGGTTGCTAATAATGTATGAGTTCAAATGGAAGTGGCACATGTTTCATCATTTTTTTTGAATCACTCACTAATTCAGGAGTTAGAGGAGTGAGTTTGCCTTGACCTAATTTTTTAAATTGGTGACATATTATGAAGGTGAAAGATGTAAGACTCGATGCTATCGATATGATAGAGTATGATTATGACAAAATGACATGATGTGCTGGCAAAAGCAATATTAGGCATTTTAAGATATAGGAGTTTTGTAAAACTTTGGTAGGAAGGTTGGAATAGGTATTGGAGGGCCTAGGAAGGATGCTTGGGTCATTAGGAGTAATGCTGAAGAAGGGTGCTTGAGCAGTACATTAAGAAAACCAATTTCCAGAGACCAATGCTGGCTTTCTGCTAGTGTTAGATGGGAGCTTGGTCGAGCGAGAAGGAGCCTGCTAAAGCGAGAATCATAGATCTGATACGAACAATATTGGTTTTTGACCTCAAATGCTCCCAAATCTCGGTTTTTCTTATTTTTCTTTCATTCTTTAACCGTAGACATGTTTGTGTGAGAGAGAGAGAGAGGCGCAATATAAGGGAGGAGGAGGAAAGGCTTGAAGATTTCTACACCTAGGGTTTTGAAACTTGTGAAAAGGGTAAGGTTTTCTTTCCCAATCTTAAGGATTGAGGCATCACATGAAAGATCATGGTTCCTTAGTTATATTGTGTTACAAAAATCATACAGTTTTTAGGTAGATTTAAACGCTATTGGAACCTATGATATGATTTGGACATAAAACATGGATTTTCACTGTTAACATGATCTATCTTCAAACTCTAAGTTCTTGAATGCATGTTTTGATTGTTTTTGCCTACAAATCTGAAATAATTACATTAGAGTCAAATATATTTATTATATGCTTGGGATCTTGCAATAAAATCATTAGTTTTGATGTCTTTAGCATGGTTCTCAAACTCTAGTTTTTGATTTCACATTTGTTGGAACTTGGGTTGTAACTATGGATTTTTTTTTAGAATGCATGTGTTATAGCAAGATTTTCTTTGGATGGAGCTTGTTTTAAAGTATGATTTGTGCACGGGTGGATTCCTACAATAGTTTGAGATTATTTTGTACCAGTGGAGACTGTGATTTGTTCCTGCAGCGAAGAACAAGGTCAGAAGGGGGCCCGAGACATGTCTAGCTTATTTCCTCCTATGCCTAAGTTAGTAGGTGCTCAAAGGAAGGATAAGACTTTTACTGTGCTAGGTTGTTCGCGAATGTGTACCTGAGACCCTACTTATTGAGCAATTTATACTTTTTAATAGGATGACATGGTACTATAGGGTCCCATCAAGCCTCCAGAGGGAGCTTTTATAGGGGTAATCATTAGTGAGCTATACTTCTCTTGAGCTGCCCAATTACTAAGTCTGGGGGAGGTTGACGTCTCCTCGAGGTCTGGACCTGCAATGATTACCAGACATCGAGCACTCAATGCATCTCCCCTAAGCATTTAATGATCTTTGTAAGACATTTATTGAGCTGTGTCGAGCACTCATTGCTTTGACACCAAACATTAAGTTCGCATGCCCCCGAGAAATTCACATCATTAAAGGCCATGCCTTTATTCGGATTTTCTAAGATTCGAGGTACATTCTGATGTGACTTGTTGGTGGAAGCAATCGTTCTTTGTGACCGGTTGTGTCATGGTGGGCCCACATATTTGCCCAGCATTAAATGCTCGGTCCCAGGATATGCCTTATTCTTTTAGCTTGCTAGAGCATATTCTACCAAATTCTCTTTTCGGGATTGACCAACCTCGATTTTTCATTGTTTGAGTCCACGTGTCATGCCTTGATACGAGAGTCGTTTTGTGTCCCGACAATTTGATATCTCATGATTGAGTAAAAAACATATTTTGTAAAATTCATGGATGACTTGAAGAACATGAATGCACCTGACATATATCACATAGTTTGTAGACAAGTTTGGTACCTTAAGGGGTTCCAAGGCTTTCTACCACTCATAGTTGATGAGTGTGGGTCCTTGTGAGGTTCCACAACTTCGTGCTATTAGTTCAAGTAAAGACCGAGGCAGAGGAGTATTGATGAGTTTGGTTACTTGTGAGGTTTCAAGGGTTCCTACTACTACTTGGGATAATTAGTTAATGATATTAGATGCCATTGGCGGTTTGTGTGCCACCACAGAATTCCCAATAGCAGTTCTCCCAAAATCTCTATGGTGATTGTTACTATTGTGTGAACTAAATGTATTTCGGTATATGGCATTCTTGATAGTCGAATCACTTATCGTCATGATGATTTATTTGTTATTGTATTTCCTGCATGGAATATTTGAAGTAACAGTTACTCGAATGTTTATAATGTTGCATATATTTTTCAACTATGACTTGACCTGCTTTCATATGTATTTAACATCTTGTTTATGTTTTGAAAAGATTATTATACTGGGTTAGTTGAGCTCACCCCTAATTTAATATTTTTTAGATGTTGGTTTGAATGTCGAGATACGTCTTGATGCAGATTATGTGGATGATCTCGAGATTGATTAAGACATCGGTCGTGAGGACGATGATGGAGGGTTAGACGTTTAATAATTGAATTTCAAATTGATTATCGGAATTATATTGCAAATTTGTGGGGTTGTATCTAAATTAAGTTTAATCATTATAGATTAGTAGCTTACTTGAGTTTTAGATTGGAAACATTGGGATTTAATGAGTTGTAGAGCTAGATTTTGGGGTTTGATGGTTTATAGCTTTGATATTGTGTTGTATGAGTGATGTTGATATTTAGTTAGCTTGTGATATAAAAGAGTGCTCTCACAAGTTGCTCATGTCATTTACTTGAATGCCCAATTTTTAAACCAAACTCTATGAGATTTTTAATAAATGAGCTTTATTAAATCAAAAGATTGTTTTTGTAAGAAATTACCTTTAACCTAGTGACAATTTTTGGATCAAATGGTTTTCTTATTAACTAACATCTTTTACGAAATTTGGAGCGTTGCAAGTGGGATTAGAGCCTAAGGATTAGGTCTTACATTAGAGTTATTAGAGTTATAATAAGTGGGCAACCAGTTTTCGTTATGAGAGAGTAGAAGGTTAAAGGAACTCTAGGATATCTTAATGTTGTGAGGAAAACTTAGTTATTGTTAGTGTGATGTTTACTTGGGCTATGTATATATATAGAAATGCAGCGCAACGGAGTAAGTGATGCTTATAGGTTTAGGATGAAAGGACAGGAGAGTAAGAAATAGAGATTGATTTATTCTTGAGGATAGGACATGATCAATGTAATGGATACTTGAGAGTTAAGTTTGGTGCATTTGGGGTAGCACAACCTTAATGTCTCCTGGTAACACCATGTTTTGTTAATGTTTATTATTTGGGGCTATTAGAGTTATTCTAAACGTTATGAATAGAGGATATACGTTGGATGTTGTGCATATAGTTATAGGAGAAAACATTAATCTAGATGTCATGATCTTGCTAATTGAGCCTAAGATGGAATTGGATAGTATAAAGTTGAGAACTTTTGAGGCAAACTATGTAAATCCATGATTTCTCAAGTAATTTTTGTTAGAAACCTAATATACTTGTTTTGGATTCAAACATAGGAGAGAATGAGGATTCAGGGATTATGGATCTGGGAATTCAAATGTTAAAACCCATGGATATTGAATTGGGTAAACTTTGACGTATGAGATGTATATAATATGATCTTTCAAAATATTTAGTTTTTCTTGATTAGTTTGGATTGTATTCAATTTGATCTGAGATACCTTGATTCTAAGAGTTCATCAAAGTTGTTTGAAATTCGTGGAGTATCATCATGAATATGAGATTCTATTGGATTTTCTTTGGGCGTATTGCTTGTGTTGATTAGGTGGATTGGTGTTGGAATGTAGTAATCAAGATCAATAGACCAAAAGCCAATTGACCAACTAATTGACTCTTAAATGACTTTGTGCTGTGGTGGTTAGTCCTTGATCTTTGGGGAAAATGCAATGATGATGTTTTGGGATAACTTGTATTTGTTTAGATTCATAAAAGTAATTTGAAACTCTGAAACTAGGGTAAGTGAATATATATTTTTGGAACATGCTCGAGGTAATTGTCATGACCTTACTGAATTGTGATGAATGTTGGGGTTTCACAGTGAACATGGCTAGCACAAGCAGTACTAACGACTATATTTTTACGAAAAGAAGATTTTAAGATTGGTTGTAATGTAGGGAAATTTAATCTTTTGGACCGACGATGACCATTGTACGAATTTGGCTGGCATAAGCTTGGTTGTCATAAGCATAAAGAACTTGTAGTCTAGCTTTGTCTTTAAGCACTAAGATTATTCGAGTAGCTAGGATATAGTAGATCAAGACGAAGTACTAATGTTAATGTGTCTACTATGGCTGAAATATGAGACTTCAATTGGATCCTTGGGTATTTTGTCACCTTTGGTGAGAGCAAGGAATATTTGGGTGCTTATTGAACCACAAGGACTTGAGGGCGTTAATAGATTGAAAAGTATGGAATGAATTAGAATTGAGTGTTCTTTAGTTTTAGTCACAATAGGAGGCTCTTAGATTTCTAGAATTGCTTTTTGTAAGATTGCTAAATATCATAGGATTACGGAGAGATGGAAAGACTCCAGATGTCATTTTGATCCAAATGATACTAGTACAACTTATTGTTGAAGTTTACTCAAGTGCTGTAATTTGGTGTTTTTAATGGTCTTATCTTCAACTGTGAAGTTACCCCTTTGGAAATACCCTTTGAAGTTACGCCTTTGTCCCCTTTGGAGATGCCCTTTGAAGTTACCCCTTTGGAGATGCCTATTGAATTTACTTGAGGCATGTGTATGACTCAAACTCTAGGGACAACTTTAGTTTTATTGAGCTAACACTTA